CAAATTGTTTAAATATAACTGTCATTCATATGACAAATCAAAATCAACATAAAGATCTTTTTTTCCTCATTAAGGGCCGTTTCCTCAATACTCGGTTCATATTACGCTTAACCGCGGTTTCATTGACGAGGGGACGACGAGGAAAGACGAAAAGACCGTGCTGCTTGTGCTCGGGTGGCACGCTCTTTGTTCTTTTCCATAACAGCTTGCTGCTACGCAATTCGGCATTCCTTCCATTTTTAAATTCCTTTCTTGATTGCAACAGAGCTCGGTTTCATAGAAATATTTGCGTTATATTTGGAAATTTATGCTTTTTTGTATGCATAATATACAATGATAACGAGGAACAAAAGAGTCGCCGTCGAAACGCCATCTAAGCAGCTGAACTTTCTTATAGATTTTACAGCTGACAGTTGTCATTTCATGTTCTGGTCAGAGACTAAACAAGACTCCTTCTTACGGTAAAGTTTACCAGAACTTAACTGAAAGATGGTTGCTAACCATATATTGAGAAAACGGCTCTAATTAATATTAATTCGGCTTGAAGGTTGTTTGTATCAAACAACTTGGCTAGAGAAAACGTTTTTTGTTGGTTGCAAACCATTAGACGGTTACGTTTGCAGATTTAGTTATACATAGGTATAGACAATATGTACAATAAACTTGTATGTATATAGTTGTCACAGAAATGCTGTGAAAGTTATTATAAAATATACAGCCTTAGTTAAAATTTTTTCTTGTTTGAGATTACTAATAATTATGGATTCGGCCCTAAATCTTTTAAAATAATACATTTTGTACAAAGTGAATTTAATTTATACATTGTACAAATAATCCTTAAACAATTAAACAAAAGAGCGAGAAAGAAAGGCAAATGCTATTTTTTATACTCTCGCAACATGTTGCTACAGAGTATAATAGTTTTGTTCACCTAACTGTTGTTTGTATCACCTAAAACTAATCGAGTTAGATATAGGGTTATGTATATACAAATCATCAAGATGAAGAGACGAGTTGAAATCCGGGTGACTGCCCGTTCATCTGTGTAAGATGTAACTTGAGTAAAAATTCAGATATCTTTATGAAACTTGGTATACATGTTTCTTGGTACTGTAAGACGGTTGGTATTGCAGATGAGCGTAATCGGATCACTGTCACGCCCACAAAAAGGCCATTAATCAAAAAGAACAACAAGGACAGCCCCGCCCACTCCCTATATAACGGTACTGTTAAAAACTACAAAAAGCGCGATAAATCAAGCACAAAACACGCCAGAGACATTAAATTTTACATCCAGGATGGCACAGGATGACTTTATAGAAAACGCGTTCAAAATTAGACAGTGGGCGTCGCACCGCCCACTTTTAGGTGAAAAGTGACTTTGCGTGAATAATATGTTTAAAGTATACCATATTGTGATCAAAAATTGTCTAAATCATACCAAAACTGTTCAATCCCCTAGGTACTGAATACTTTACTTGTTAATTTTTTTTCTGGGCTAATATTCTTTTCGCATAATGTTCACATAGTATAATAGTATTGTGCCCACCGCTCATATAACAATTATGTTAAAAACTACTAATAGTATGGTAATAAGTAAGTAAAGGCTAAGTTCGGGTGTTATCGAACGTTTTATACTCTTGGAGCTTGAAAGGATCAAAACCGGGGAAATACCTTCAGGTGTTGGCAAAACTTTATTTTAAACAAGTAAAGAAGGGCTAAGTTAGGATGCAACCGAACATTTTATACTCTCGCAAAGTCAAATGGTATACTCGTTTTGGATTTCTTTGTGTATCTTACCGTCTTGTTTTATGTTGACCGATATTTTCGGTAAAAAGTCAGCTATAGGCACTGGGGTCCACATATTTAGTACTTAGGGGCTTGAACAGTTTTGGTTCGATTAAGACAATTTTTGGTCACAAGGTGGCATACTTTAAACGAATTATTCACGCAAAGTTTTACCCCGATATAATCATTTTTGCTTGATATGCATATTGGAAAATGAAAGAATCAGATGGAATTGGAAATGGTATTATATGGGAAATAGGCGTGGTTGTAGTCCGATTTCGCCCATTTTCGCACTGTAACATAGAAATATGAAAAGAACGTTATGTACCGAATTTCGTTTAAATCGGTTAAGCAGATCTTAATATATGAGTTTTCACCTAAAAGTGGGCGGTGCCACGCCCACTGTTTAATTTTGAACGCGGTTCCTATAACGTCATCTCATGCCATCTCAGAGATAAAATTTAATGTCTCTGGCGTATTTAGTGCTTGGTTTATCGCGCTTTTAGTATTTTTTAACAGTACCGTTATATAGGGAGTGGGCTGGCTTGACACCCGATTTCACCCGTTTTCACACCGTCAATAGAGGTGCTATAAACATTTGCCCCCAGTGAATTTGGTTATTATAGCTTTACCGGTTTAGGAGATATGCACATTAAACTTATTAGGGGCAGAACCACGCCCACTTAAAAAAAAAATTTTAACTACAGATGGCCCTCTCTATTGTGATCCTGTATACCAAATAAGAGTCTTGTATCTTAGTGTGTAGCTTAGTTATGGCAATTTATTTGTTTTTCAATAATGGCGTTTTGTGGGCGTGGCTGTGGTCCGATTACACCCATCTACAATACCAACTGTCTCACGGTACCAAGAAACATTTCTACCAAGTTTCATAAAGATATCTCAATTTTTACTCAAGTTAGAGCTTGCACGGACGGACGGACGGACGGACAGACAGTCACCCGGATTTCAACTCGTCTCTTCATACTGATCATTTATATATACATAACCCTATATCTAACTCGATTAGTTTTAGGGGATACAAACAACCGTTAGGTGAACAAAACTACTATACTCTGTAGCAACTGGTTGCGAGAGTATAAAAATGTAACGAAAGGGTTCAACTATAGTGTTCAATTAAATCGTGAAATTTTATAAATATATATAATATATATATATATTAACATATATATGGAGTATGCCTTTAGCCAGCAATGTTGTTGTTGCATCATGGGCTCGCGGTTCCGAGGTAAGTTCAATTAAGTACTGCTGATTTAATATTGATGAAAAATTGATTAGGCTTAAAATCCCCAATTTCAAAATCCCCAAAACAATTCTTTTGCATTGACGGCCTAAAAAAAAACATTAATAATAATATAAGGAAAGCGGTTCTCAAAATCCGGTTAATAAAGTTCTTAATATGGAAGAAAGATTATTTCAGATAGAGAGATAGATATGGACTCCAAATTATGATACTCTTGCCACATGTAAATAAAAGTTTTGTTCACTTAACGGTTGTTTGTTTTTGTATCACCTAAAAATAATCGAGTTAGATATGAGGTTATACATATATAAATGATCAGGATGACGAGACGAGTTGAAATCCCGCTGACTGTCTGTATGTCCGTTCGTGCAAGCTGCAACTGTAAAAATTAAAATATCTTGATGAAACTTTAAATGTTAAAATCGGGGTTATCAGTTATATAGAGGCTAAGGTAAGTTTTCGCCCGATTTTATCCATTTTAGGCTCACAGATACACTCTCATATCTTACATATTAAGCAATATTTTCGGCAAAATGTCAGTCATATGCACTGGGGTCCACATATTCGGTATGTTAGGGCTTGAAGAGTTATAGTCCGATTTTGGCGAGTCTTAGACCCGAGTTGGCATACCTCATGGGTACTTTTTGTATACAGTTTTATCGGAGTATATTCGTTAGTGCTTGATTTGTGTACGAAAAGGTGAAAGAATTAGATGGAATTTAAAATTGTTTTCTAATGGAAAGTGCATGTATTTGTACTCCGATATCGCCCATTTCTGCACTGTGACATACAAATATCATATTAATGAAATCCACCAAGATTGTTTGAAATCGGTCAACCAGGTCCCGTGATATGAATTTTCACCTAAATGTGGGCTGTGCCACGCCAATCGTTCAATTTTGAAAACTTTATATCACAATAGCACATCATTTAAGTATAAAAATATTTTCAGTGTTCATTTCGTTCTAATTAGTTTTATGTAAAGGTAATTACCTCGGCTAACAAAATATTAACTTGTTTTGTCACACGAAAACAAATTATACCAAATTTTGAATGTACTAAACTAAACAATAATATGTGAATGGAATGTGACACGTCAGGTTTTTTTGTGCCACCAAAACAAATATTTTCTTAAAACGTACAAACATTGGCTACATTTAGAGAAATTATTGCTTAATATAGAAAAATACTTATATTTTCGTGAATTTTTGGCTTGTGGAAGGTCTTTTTTATGTGTCCGACAATAATCTGCTAGCATTCCTGCGCCCCATTTCACTTAATAGCGTTTCTCCAATAATGCAATACCGGGAAAAAATCCAGATGAGAGTCCAACATATTTATTTTTAAAGACATATTATACCCCAAAGCTTTATATGACTTTGTAAGTTCATTTATTAAGTTTTTGTAATTTTCCGTAATTCTAGAAAATTTTGCCACAAGTCCCACAGCCACAGGAAGTTCGGCAATATGTAGGATGACAAGTTTGGATACTGGGTAGTGTGTTTGGACTTGGTTGTAATGCCTTTTATTTGAGCTAAACAAAAATAATAATAACTTACATGATCCTTTGGTTCTATCCAAATTATTTGTATAGCAAATGGCAAATGTTTGGGTTCTTGTTTAGCCCAACCTAATAGGAGTCTCACATACTTTAGACAATATTTATGTGGAACCCAGGATTTATCTTTATTTTCAAAGGAAATCCAAAGTCGGCTAAATAGCACTGTTCAACTAATGGTGTGAAATTACGACGCTGAGTTTTAAAAGTTAATAAAATAATAAAAAGTGTTGGGGTCGTTAGAACACTTTCGTGGTATGTTTACGATGTAACAAATGTATATATGATGTAAGGGGGTCGATCGCAATAGTTTTACAGTCGTATGATTAACAAAAAATAATCACAAATAACGTATGACAAAAACAGTGTTTATTTTTGTTTACTTTATTGCAGAATAACACCATGCGAGTCATTTATATGTATCAAAATCGCGATCCACCTCATGGATCAGTTCAACCTGGGACATTACCTGATCCAGACTCCGCTTTTCGGCCGTATCATCCAATGGTTCTTACCCAAAGCGCACAAATACATTTCCGGAAAGACGATCATATAAGGCAAATGGAGCTACGAAATGAGGATGTGGCACTTCCAAGTGGAGATATTACATTATCCTGGTGCAAAATGTTCAAGTTAGAAGATATTAATCGCAAGCACCATCTTATTCGGGTATGCAAGATCTATATATTTGTCTAATATCATGTAATACGATTTGACTAAACTCTAAAACCTTTTAGTACGAACCAATATATGACTCAACGTCCAGCATACATTATTTACAACAAATTACGCTGTATGAATGCCAGGGATCCGAGCAAGAGCTTGAGAAAATGGCACGAGAGCAGGGACGACAATGTATAGGCAATCGGGATATGCCTTTAGCCTGCAATGCTATTGTTGCATCATGGTCTCGCGGTTCGGAGGTAAGTTCAATGAAGTACTGCTGATTTAATATTGATGAAAAATGGATTAGGCTTAAAATCCCCAATTTCAAAATCCCCCAAACACTTCTTTGCATTGACGGCCTTAAAAAAAAACATTAATAATAATATAAGAAAAGCGGTTCTCAGCGGTTCAAAATCCGGTTAATAAAGTTCTCAATATGGAAGAAAGATTATTTCAGATAGAGAGATGGATATGGACCCCAAATCATTATACTCTTGCCACATGTAAATAATAGTTTTGTTCACTTAACGGTTGTTTGTTGTTGTATTACCTAAAAATAATCGAGTTAGATATGAGGTTATATATACCTAAATGATCAGGATGACGAGACGAGTTGAAATCCGGCTGACTGTCTGTATGTCCGTACGTGCAAGCTGCAACTTGAGTAAAAATTAAGATATCTTGATGAAACTTGATACGCATGTTCACATAAGAAGTTTTGTTATTGTAAAAGGGAATAATCGGACCACTGCCACGCCCCCAACACGCCATTAATCGCAAATATGTAAAATGCCATAATCAAGCACTAAATTAAGATATAAACCTGCATATTGGTATAGGAAATTGTTCACTATATCAAGGCTGATATTTATTATTTTCAAACCAACTATTATTTGCACAAAACATTTTTATGAAGCATTCCATTTTTATTTATTAAATTTAATAGAAAACAAGTCAACACAGTGGTAAAAAAACAAGATGTATACATCTATTTAAATTTTTAAACTATTTAAAAGAAATCGTGAATATATGTTCGTTTTTTGGGTTCAGAAACTGCTTTTTCACGTAAACTTCGCAGCACTAGTAAACTAGAGTAATCAGTAGTGTTAGCCTCAGTCCATGCTATAGCTTTATCAAAGCTTTCAATAGCTTCAGTAGCTTTTACAAAATTTGTGGCGGGCATAAATTCTTTCATATAATATTATCAATGTCTTTTTCAAAATTGACCGGAACCACAATGGAATATCATCTTCCTCATTCTCGCTTTTGTTTAGCTCTGTTTCATTGAATAAAAGCTTCCATCATTTTGTTATTACTTTAGCGTCCAGCTGATTGAAAGCAAGCATTAAACCGTTCAAGTTTTTAAAAACTCAGAGATATCATCCTACCCTACAGCCAATAACATCATATGTTTTTTTGTAAAGAAGCTTAGTTAAGCGAATTACATTTTGATCCATGGGTTGAATCAAGGGCGTAACGTTTGGTGGCATATAAAAAATAAAGACCATCAACAGTTTTAAACTCATTTTCTGGCGGATGAATAGGTGCATTATCAAGTAATAGGGTAGCTTTGGATTGTAAACCCTTTTGTAGCAAAAACTTTTGGACTTACAGACAATAAAAACAAAAATGTTTTACAACAGTCCATTACGGATTTTATTTGTGTTATTTATTTAACCTGAGGGACGTAACAATGATGAAACCATTATCGAAAAAAAAAATGTATTCATCCATGCACTCTTAGAATTTCGGGATTCTACAGGAAGCTCATATGACTTAAAAGAGTGATTTAACTTTATGCTCACCAATTGTATTTGTGCATACAAGAAAAAAGATTGTAGCCTTTTCTGCTTTTCTCCCCAGCGCTGTTCTTTCATTATCACTTACATACGTTCTATCAGGAAGCATTTACCAAAACAAACCGGTCTCATCTGCGTTATTAATTTGGTCCCTGCAAAGCTTAAACTCATAAAAACTATTGCTAAGCTTATTCTTAAATGGTTTAACAGAATTCCGAAGCGAGACTTAAATCAAATAACCATTTGGAACTGATATGGAAATTACCTTCCGTTTCTTTAATATCAGCGTGAATCTTCATCGCGTGAATCTAGGCCCCCGTATACCTTATTGAAATATTTTCGAACTTCCGGCTGACTTCCGTTATTTTAACAAACCCAATATTAATGGTTTAGCGCTGAACATGAATGGAGTTGGTCTAGACCTTGGCCTTAACCTGATATCCCTCTTCGATTAAGTTTATGTCAGATATATCTCATTTTAGGATAATTTAGGACGGGAAGTAAAATACAGTAATAAAACTAAGTGAGTCTGTGAGCTACACATAATATAACTTAATAAACCAAATTTGATCGTAATCCATTTACAATTGCGTCGAATAATAAATTTTGAATTGTATCGCAACAGTTTTTAATATAAAGTTTTTCTAACAACTAAAGGTATTTTCCCTGCTTTGATCCTCGCAAGTTGCAAGAATATAAAATGTTCGATTACTCCCGAACTTAGCCATTCCAGACAGACGTAGCTAAATCGACTCTGCTCGTCATGCTGTAACATAGAGCCGCAAAACAATCGATGGGAATATCGATAGTTTTATTTTTGTCTCACTATCGATAGTTTATTTTTACTATCGATGGTTTATGCCTTAACTAGACTTACCAACGATTTTCATAAAACTGCAACCCTTTATTCATACAGAATCCGTATTTTTGACACCACGGTTTTCCAGGATTTTAATAAGAATTTAACAAGTGGATTATAATGGATTAAAGTATTCATCCTAAAAGTATAATAAGTATACATATCTTGATCTCATACTTTTGAGCTGACGAGTTATAGCTCACAGTAACTTTTTTTTTGTTTTTCCGCTTTGTTTTATAAATTAATCTAAAGTTCATTTCATAAAAAATTAACTGTACAAAGCCAAGGTCTCTTAATTAAAACTAGCAAAATGTAAGTTCGATTCTAGGGAAAACTCTATCAATACTATCGATAGTATTTCTTTAAACTTTCTTTCGAGTGGTCCGACTACAAATTGTTTTGCAGCTCTATCATGCTAATCATTTATAAAATATATATGTATTGTATATATATTTTTATAGGGTCTCCGACGTTTCTTATCATACATATGTACAAAAAAGAAGTACATACACGTATACAGTGGAAACTCTACATAACAAAATTCGAAGGACAGTCTACTTTTTACGTTATAAAGAGCTTTCTTAACGAGTAATATTATACACGTTATAATAAACGAAGCGATCCTAAGGTTTAAATCGTAATCAGTTATCTTAGCTTACCGTTTTCTATTTTGTCCACATTTTAACTAAGTGCTTTTTTTGTATCTATTTATAAAAGCCATGTTCAACATGCCAAAAAGATGTCCAACAATTAAACCATAGCGATGTGACTTGCCCTTTTGCGTTGCCTACTTATGTTTATTTTTCCCATGCAATATAATTTTCTTCAAACTAGTTATTTTGGAATTTGTTTTCAACAAATTAAGTGGTATGTTTTCTTCATCTGTGTCGGTTGAATCTTCTGACGAACTTGCGTCCTCAAAGCTTTCGTTCTGTTAGATCTCTGCTTCAGATTCCAACTCGCTCTTGTCTTCTTTTTCGCTTAGTTTATACTCATCGTCACACGTTGAAAACATTTTTCAATTTGTTCGTCAGTATAAAGTTTGGAGACACTCATTTTGTATTAAAAATTGAAAGGCCAAATATATAAACAAAGAAATAAAGTTAAGAAAATCACTTTGAAACGATAAACTTACACAAAGTTCATCGTTCGTCGTTTCGACTACACACATAAAAAGAAAATACTTACACGAAGCGCGTGAATCTGACTGCACCCAACAACACCCCAACACCGACTAGCGCTGTACGAAAAATCAGCCGGATGTCTTCAAATCCTAAATATCAGCTATATAAGGGTTAGGGCAAGTTTTCATCTTATTAAGGAGTTATATCTCAATTTAGTGCGTAGTTGTGCATTTTACAGGTTTACGATTAATCTACGAACTCGTCCTTACTTTTTTGAAAAGGAACAGGTGTACCAAGTTTCATTAAGATATCTTAATTTCTACTCAAAGTATCGCTTGCATAGACAGACAGACAGTCACCCGGATTTCAACTCGTCTTGTCATCCTTATCATTTATATACCATATACATATATAACCCTATATCTAATTCAATTATCTTTAGGTGATACAAACAACCGTTAGGTGAGCAAACTATTATATAATATTCTGTAGCAATGTTGCAAGAGTATATAAATTTCAAGCAAATTGTGTAAATATTGACTTCCTTGTAGCATCATACGTTGAATTTTGACAAACATCCGACCAGTATTGTTCGCCACTGTATGTGTTAATATAGCAATAAAAATGTAAACTAAAAAAACTTTGGTATTTTTTACATTACATTGAGTTTTTGGTTAAAGGGAATTCCGTTATATAGAGTTTTCACTGTATATGTAGGTAAACCAAGTAATTATGGTTTCAATTTTTAACAGAAGGCATAATGTCCCTCTATTTCACAGGGCTTTACATTTCCGGAGGATGCTGGCTACCCGATCGACTCTCATTTTGCCAAATACTATCTAATGGAAACACACTACAACAATTTGCTGCCTGATAATTTCCAAAGCTATAGTCGACAAATGGCTGATAATTCAGGACTAAGGATTTACTTCACCCATGTGCTGCGTCCGAATGACGCTGGAATTCTTTCAATTGGTAATTATGCAATATTTCATAGCACTTTTTAGTGAAATAATCGTTAACAGAATAATACTGATTATGATGAAGGACATTTAGTACATTTGGCTATTACAAATGCTATATAGATGAGTGACTGCTGACGAACACGTAAAGCAATTTACAATTCACATTCACATTTACAAAAAAAGTTTAATACCTAGACTGATTCATTCTGTTTTCCTATCATAACCACTTTCATATTTTTTTAACTTTAATGTACTCGTACAAGCAAGTACACATACATATATATTTATATACACTTGGCTGTCAGACATGTCCAAACACGTACATATGTACACTTATCCATAAAATGTAAGTTTGCCGCGAAAATCATACTTAGCGCAGCGGCACCTGGCCAAGCCTCGGTATATTCGAGCGATATCTCGTCAAAAGAAGGTATAACCGAATTTATATTTCATGCTGTGCTTTCGTGCACGTCAATCGAAATTCGCATTAAAAAACACGAAAGGATACTTTTGTTGTGGTATTATGCGAATTGTGATCGTTGAAATTGGAAAATTAAAATGGTAATCGTAATGGTAATGAACGTGCGAGGTGGCAATGGAAATGTAAATAAAATTTCACTATGGTCAACAAATATTGTACTAAAAATACAAGTAAATTCCTCAAGTGGCCCGATGAATAACTCATTGTTGTATGTATCCATGTAGAGTAGTGTTAATACATATTTTAAACGGTGTCAATCAATTCTTTATTTATCGAATTATTTGAGAGTCATTTGAAATACATATAACCACGAGCTTTTCAACTCCATCACCATATTAGACGATTTCACTGCTATGATGGAGTTAAAAAATTAGCACCATATTTATATCTAACTACTTTTTTTAGGTATGGATCCAAATTGGCGTCACATAATTCCACCCGGTCAAAAGGAAGTAATCTCTGAAGGACAATGTATTGAAGATTGTACAGCCTACGCTTTTCCTACTCAGGGAATAAACATTTTTGCGGTGATGATGCGTACACACCAAATCGGCAAAAAAGTTAAACTTCGGCAGGTATGGATGAGAATTGGCATTAATTATTTGTTAATAATTCAAGGTATTACTTTTATACTCTCGTAACATATTAAACAGAATATTAAAGTTTTGTTTATCTAACGGTTGTTTGTAACACCTTAAATTAATCGCGATAGATGTCGATTTATATAGGTATATCGAAATGGTCAAGATGACTAGACGAGTTAAATTCCGGATGTCTGTTTGTCCGATGATTTGTTTGACCATTTATCTGTCCGGGTAAGCGATAACTTGAGTTAAAATAACTACAAAAAACAATAGTGATGTAAGGAAGTCACAAATTAAGATACTATACAAATTGGTACTGAAAATCACAGTAAGATGGGGTGTTCGTGGTAAAAAAGTTTTAGAAAGTGGGCGTGGTCCCGATTCTCATAGGTTCTATGTACATACATATCTCCCAAACTTTTTAAACTTATATTGAAAACAAGAGAAAACGCTATAATACCCTTCACAGGTGCATTTCGTTTAGTAACTACTATATGTATGACTACATTTGAAAACGTAACTTGCCAACGGGTTGCATCCAACGGAAAGCATTTTGCCAGTACTTTCTAGCCAGGTTCTTTGCTATAAACAATCTTCTATTCGAATTAAGGTTAGTTATTGAGGTAAATAGATCTTTCAGAAATTTATATAAATTTTAATTTTTTAAGCTGATTGATTGTTCACATTAAATTAATGGAAAACAAAACAAATTATAATATTTATAGAAATTAGAAAATATATAACATATAATAATATTTATTATTCTATAATACTTTTTTATATGATATATGAATTACAATAATTACATCTATGACTTACACTTTATATTATAATACAAACTTAAATTTAATAATATTGAATCTAACATATATCTATATATATAATATATCTATTTTCTAAAGCTTAAAAATATTCCGTCATTATCACTGTATGGTGTTTCATATGTTATACATGAGGTCATTGCAGAATCCATGTTTGTCCATACCCAATCTATTGCTGTTTCCTGTTTTGTTATGGCGACTTTAGCCAATGAAGATTGAAATCCCAACTGTTGTAATCGAGTCTCCAAATCATCAGTTACTGTTAGGCGACATACATATGTTGAAGTCACCAAGGACCACTGACGGTACATTATGCTGTTCAGTTATCTGACGGATATTATTTTCCACTTGGTTTCTAAATTCCGGAAGTCTATAGCGGGGGTTCCTGGGGGTTTATATTATATTATATCGATTATATATAATCCATTGGCACTTGTGGCTCTGCTACATCCTACATATAAAGCTGATCATGATTGGTGTCCAATCTGCATTTCGACTGTGAGGCTGCTTGGAACGTGCAAAGCTTCCAACTCTTGGTTCTGCGAATTTTATCAATAGTCGCACCATTGAACATTCAGATCTATGTGATTCGGAATCAACCTGCATTAGTTCCCCCGCAGCACCATTGACTAGAACATCACTTATGCTTATGTTGACTGTCACCCTATATTTGATCGAAGTCTTGAACTGCAATGTTTAAAGCATTCCTTGTGTTTCCGATGGCTTAAAAGACTTCACTGCTTCTAAAATGTTTGCCCTGCTGCGTTCTGTTAAGGAACTTGACTTAATTGTATCCTTCGCAGTCGAAATGAACTTCTCGGTCATTGTGTTTGCAAGTTTAGTTATATTGAAATCATTTACTCCAGCATTTGAATAAAATAGATGGATGGCTTCGTTCGGTATCTCATTAAAGTTCTTTTCCCTGCTTTTGAATAATTGGATGTCAGCGTGTGTCATATTTCCCTCTGACATGTTATTTAAAGCGATGGCAAATGCTTGATCTTCACGCTGGCGCATTATTTCAGTGAGCTAAAAGTACCGAAATTGATCCCAAAGCGGTGTTCCTGTAATTGTACTGTAATGATCATTCCTATTCGGCGCAAATATCCATCGATCTCCTACTGGCGGCAGCTGCTTTAAGTAACCAAACACGATAATTGGTATGCCTCCAAAGTAAGCGGTGCTCCTGAAAATTTGCTTTTGCCTGCAATTTAAATATGCAAACATCTTTGCTCCAACCATTGAAATTTCGTCAATTATAATAGGCCTAATAGCTATGAGATTGGCATGAATAGTGTTTAATGTGTCACTATTTAGTGGCCGGAGATCGCCGGAAGACTGGTTGACGGGGAGTGAAAAAACCGAATGAAGGGTTAGGCCTCCAATTCCAAATGCTGCTTAGCCAGTGGGTGCGCAGAGTAACACCTTGGCTGTTTCGGGGTTGGTTCCTGGTACACTATTAGCTCGCAATGTCAACGACTGATATATAGTTGTTATAAGCCGACTTTTGCCCACTCCAGCACCGCCTCCGACATATTTGAAGAAGATTTCCTAACATTGTGCATTACATGAGCAAAGTATTCCCTCTGTTAAGTGACTGCACCATTGCCAGTAAATCGTCTTCAAATATTAGAGGTGGGAGTTTAATTAATCGAACCGCCTTTTCCTCTGTACTGTTGTGCTCTTGAAAAACATTAATGTATCCTGTTTGCTCTGGAACAGCTAGAGCTCTGAATTCGGGATCTAAAAGTTGTGAGGCAGCTCGATCATCAGCTGTCTGTTGTTATTGTTGTAGCGGCAGCATTCAGCCGAGTTGACAGTCCTTGACCGGATAAAATCCGGGTCCGTTCCGGTTACGTAGCCCCGACTGTCGTGGGAACGGATCATCAGCTGTCTCTTCCACTGTGGCATGAAGGTTTTCCAAAATCCGTTCTAGTTCGTTCGATGAAAATTTGTCATATTTGAGCTTATTCAGCTCAATTTGCTCCTTGTGTGCATTGCAAATACTCTCGATGTCATTATTTAATAAGTCTGTTTCCTCATTTCTCCATGGGTGAAACATCATGGCGGTTTCTCTGAAGAAATCGGCTCTTGAACTTTCAACGCTAAAACGTTTCCAACGCAGAATAAGGGCTTGCTTCCTTTTCCTTAAAAATCCTGATTCATCTTTTAATGCCATTAGAAGTGCAGCTGTCGTGTCATCCTCGTTCCCTACTTCGTTGTAGTCTTCGATATTATCAAAAACATTTCTGCTTGTTTTGCAAAATCTGAACCATGCTGCAAAATCTGCTAAACATAGCTCTTCCAATTGATCGGGCCTTTGAGATCAGTGCTCCAGCACACTCGGCACATATATGTCCGTAGAGTCCTCCTGTAATTTTTTATAAATAAATTCCCCATTACTGGCTTCTGATAGATGCAGTCCCAAAATATTAGGTGAAGTAAAAAGTTCGTTCGGTTTTTTATTGATTTTTCAAAAGATGATAACTTTGTGTACATTTGTCCGATTTAAGTCAAATATGCGCCGTTTTGTTTGTAAACGTGTTGCCAACGAGATGCCAACTTCATTATACCCCTCTCGTGGAAGACTGCGTCCCTATTTTCCAATTTTCACAGACCTCTCTTGAGGCCAACTTCTCACCATTAAACGCGTTCGCCATGGACAGGAAAAGATGGTAATCACTTGGTGCCAGGTCCGGATAAGGTGGGTGCATTAGAACCTCCCATCCGAGCTTCAGGAGCTCCTGGCGAGTCACCAAAGACGTGTGTGGCCTGGCGTTGTCCTGATGGAACACAATTCGGCCTCCTTTGATCAAAGATGGCCTCTTCTGGATGAGTGCTGCCTTCAAGCGGTCTAGCTGTTGGCAGTAAAGGGCCGAATTGAGCGTTTGTCCATAGGGGAGCAGCTCGCAGTAGATGATTCCTTGCCCATCCCACCAAACACACTGCAAAACCTTCCTGGACGTCAATCAGGTCTTGACCACCATCTGGGCCGCTTCCCCGAGCTTTGACCACGACCGTTTGCGCTCGATGTTGTCATAAGTGACCCATTTTTCATCGCCAATCACAATCCGCTTCAGAAACGGGTCGATTTTGTTGCGATTCTGCAGCGATTTGCAGATGGAAATTCGGTCCATCATGTTTTTTGCATTAGTTCGTGTGACGTTGTGAAAAATTGTAAAATATAGCGAATTTTCTCTTTGTTGGTGTCCATCTTTGACGAGCGCTCACAACGAACTGAGTAAATCAATCGAAAAACTATCAAAGACAAACTTTTAGCGCGAATAAACACGTTTTCAGCGGCGTATAGTATGACATGATGCGACACGTAACACTAGTACTATGGACAATAACGCCATCTCTTAGATAAAAACCGAACGAACTTTTTACTTGGCCTAATATTATAAGCTGCTTCTTGAGCCGATATTTCCGATCCATTTACAAATTTGTTTTCGATGTGCTGCAGTTTTCTTTTGATGGAGAAACTCCCTGCATTTATTTTCTCCATGGCTTGTCTCAATAATGTTGATACTCCTCTATTGGATTTATTTATATAATTAATGATATAGCTGCAGCAAGCGTATGCGTCCAGAATGAATTGAATATTTATACTTGCTCTATGGAATTTAAGGATATTTTTATTATAGGCATTTAGAAGCCTGATTGAAAATTTTCTCTTTGGGAGAATGTGTGGCTTTTTTAGGTCTCTTAGGCAAGCTCGACCATGTCTGTGTTTTTGATACAGAATGAATTCCAGTAAGTCCAAAACATCCCCATCGGTTGTGATGTGTCGGTCGATGAATGTTTCAACATCATTTGTGTTGATGATTCCATCACTTTCCAATTGTGGTTCGTTACTTAGCCAGTACATGCCATGACAATGTGGTGATCCCCTATGTTGAAATTCAATTCTGTAAGAGTAACGGACTACTAAATTCTCTCCTAACAACTCAGGCCATTTTGCTTCTGCAGCAGACATTGTGATAAAAAATGTTGGCAAACCAAACTGGTGGATCATGGCTAATACTTTCTTCTTTTCAGCCTCCCAATATGCAGGTAAGGGTCGAAGTCCTTTGAGTATATGATATTTGCATCCCTCACATTTGCAGCAGTTATATTTCTCGATCCAGACTTTTTACGCAGGCAAATGGAAATTGCATTTTAATGCGC